GACATGATAGCTCGGAGGTCTTCCTTACAAAAAGGTCGGTAGCTGCCCAAGCACGACTAGATTGTGCCCACTGCGATCCTATTTTTTTCAAATCAATTAATAACATGCTGTAGGGGTGGACATTGGGTTTTCCTAGGCACGTGATGCAACATTGTAACTCGATCTAGAGTTTCTAGCTATTGAAGAAACATTTAAATATTCGTTTTTATTACTAAGAAGTAAGAACGACATATTGCTGTTATTTTGTGTAATTTCAGATCTTTTGTTATAAATCACAACAAATGAAATCTAATCTAGTCTCAAATTCTCAGTGTGCACCAGTTAGCGCGAGAATTCTATCAAATCAACGAGGTTAAATAATATTTTCCGGCGGATCAGGTTAACTTGCACGGGAGCAACATTAAATATAACTTTAAAAGGGACGAGTTTTTTTTTTTTATTGTGCAAGACTTTATTGTTAATAATTTCATATATTATTGTGGATGAACTACAAAAAAAATTAAAATTGATTTGATACTCAATTTTTTTTCCGGCATGATTTAGTATTTAATTAAAAACCAAAATAAAACTTAACTTTAAACACATGTTTCTCTCTCTTCAAGATATGTCATATATCAACAGAAAGCTGTGTCTAATTTATATCACCAAAAGTCTGCAAATGTACAGGACATTGTTTTGAATTCACGAGGGTGTTAGTTGAGCCCTGTGTTGTACCTCAACAGTAAATTTCCCTCAACAAGTAACCAAGAGTTCTCTTTCTCTTATCTAAAATTAATATGCTTTGGATAGTAGCCATTTTTTTTCTTCAGTGCTTCAGGGTGCTTTGCTCTTTTCAGTGCGGAGTGAAACTTTTAGGCTAGGTTAGCGCAGCTAGCAGTTCAAATAGTGATGCCCAGATTAGAATTTGGAGCCCTCTTTAGGACTTCCCTAGCTGAGATGGGAATTTTGGTTTTACAGTATTTCCACATAATGACGTCCCAAATTGGTCATTAAAGATTGTAGAAGCTTTTCCTGTTGTCTCTATATTTTTCAGGGTGTGTGAAAAGATTACTTCTGCTCTTGCAAGTTAAGTTGACGTAGGAATTCGAATCTTTCCTAATTGTAGATCTTAGTTTTCTTAGCAAAATCTTTTGTGATTATACGTAGGAAGGTGGGTCCTTCTTTGGTTGCTTTTAATTTATGAAAATCTTTCATCCATGAAAAGGAAAGGGGTATCTTGATACACACCGCGTTTTTTTGACGTGAGAGGTGACAGTTTAACCCCGGATAGAAGGATAGAGACTTGATGCTTCGGCCCAGTCATCAATTTTTCTGGTGGATTAGTCTCACCAGCAAATTACAACATTTTCTTTGCCTTCATGTATTTGCGGCAATTTCCTTTTCTTCCTCTCATTTTTGTTTTGTTTGTTTCTCCTTGGTAAAAAGTTCGCGGCAGAAACAAAGAGTCATGCTCAACAAAATCCTCCATCAGCGGAATCCCAGCGTGAAAATTCTATCCAAGTGGATTAGAATCAAGATAGTCCCCTGAATATAGTTTTTATACATCTTGACTGATTTTTTTCAATGCGTGTAAGCTCTAAGCATCCGTGGTTATCCCATCCATGGGACGATAATTTATCATCTGTATTCACCAGAATGTGTTTGACAGTTACAGGTTTTCCGTCACCTGAACAGAATTTGCTGGTAATCTGTTCCTCTTTCGTGGATGGGTCCATTGATGTGCTCAATAAAATTTAGCTTTGATAATATACTAAACATTTGATCGAGTATTTTTGAAAGATAAAAGAGGAATGGACTTCACATGCAGTGTTGGGAAGATACCATGGTCAAGTAGATCAAGGAGAGACTTGTTTGTTTTGGTGTATCTGGAAATGAAAAGGACGAAGAACAATGGAGAAATTTTGGTGATTTGCAAGCTGATGGGGAAATCATTATCAATGCATTGAGCAAGCAATGGAATTTTGAAATTCTGAACATCGAAGTTGAGGATACTAATGGTCACCGGAGGACAATTAGCCAAATGTTATCGGGATGTTCATTCAGAGAGGTGGCAAGCCAACCCAAATAAGCAAGCACAGTTTACCAAAAATTCCTTTTCCTTTTCTTTTTATATGAGCTGGTTATGAAAATGTAGCTAGTGTTGCCAGATTCGCGTCATATCTGAGAACGATCTGAGATAATAGAGTTGAAGTTAACCCATGTTAACAGAAGCCAAACCGGCTGAGATGAATTTATTTTATCTAATAAGTTACAAACACAACTCCTTTTGACAAGACCCAAATATCAAACTTATCAAACAGCATCGTAACATTCTGAGGATTATTTTTTACTTGATAAGCTGTAAGTTTGTTGTGACAGAAAACTGAGACTTGCTGGCCTCCGTATAGCCAGAACTCAGCATTCTGCTTCACGTGATAGCAGCACTACGACGGTGAAGTCCTCAAACTGCAGGTTTCTTCACAACAAGAACAGGGCACTTGGCATTGTGCACACAGTAGTTGCTGACACTTCCCAGAAAAGCCCTGCCCCAAAAAAACCTGAGTTAAATAAGTCATTTGTAGGTTTTAGTCTATCTTGGTGCAGTGCAGAGGCACCCTTGTTTGCACACAATAGCACAATGATAGTTTATAAAAATAAACCTGCCACACAGCTCTACAAGTTAAAGACACAAGACTTGTTTTGCATTCAATTACATTTTGAAATGAATGACATACCATTTCTTTTTCTTCTTTTTTATTCTGCAAGGATACATGAAAAAAGAAGGCTGCCTATACCATTTCAGAAGAAAAGACTAACCTCTGCACAGGTCCCCGACCATGGCTACCTAAAACAAGTAGTTGGATGTTGAGCTTTTCTACAGCTTCACATATTGCCTCTTTAGGATCCCCAATTTCTGTCATTATCTCTACATCGACCTTTAGGAAGACAAAAGGGTATCAACATTTCTGCATTTAACAACAGGCATAAATACTTGATGTGCAGCCTGCTTGTACTTGCATGCTTTTTTATGTGTGTATGAAGGAACTTCAATTTATTTCTCAACTACAGGGGCTTCAATTTTACTCACTCAATCAACATGTTGTATAGATCATGTACAATGTCCATCAACAAATTCATTCTACAAGCAGAACGCTTTAATAACGAACAGTTAATAAAATGTAAGAAACCATTACCCCATGTCTGGCACAAATATCTTTAGCTTTATCCAACAACATTAATGCAATCTTTTTTCTATTCTCTTGTATGGATGCAACCAAATCCGCAGCTGAAAAAAATAAAAAAAAATTATACTCTGAAGTATCATACAAATGAAAAACAAAATAAAGAGAAATTATTACTGTTGCAATTAAGTTAATCTAGATGGGTTGAAATATCTTTAAAATCTTTTTTTTTAATAAACTTTGTTCGCTTTTTTTATGATTACTGCTAAAAGAAATGAATGTTCACCAAGGAAATAAGATGGAACTTACGAGTAGTGCCAAAAGTGGAAGCATGGAGATAACCCAGATCAGAATTAGGCTGTGCAGTGAAGATGATAACATCAGAGACAGCGATGGAATCTCTTAGCTTATCAAGAAACCATTCAAGTGTATAGTGGCTGCTCTCACTATCATCTATTGCCACCATCACCTTCTTCTTTTCACTACCTCTTCCCTGTTCCATGATTCTATAATAGCAGAACAGCGCTCTGGTTCTCTCTTTATTAAAGGCAATGAAGTCTCTCTAGCTATAGGTTCCCAGTTATATATTAAAGGCTGGTGGCTATGATCAAGTGCTTCACTGACCACAATGGTGGGATAATTTTGGACTGGTGATGGGGAATTCGATTACACTGCAATATTTTGTTGAATTGTAGGTTTTTATCTTGGTTGAGATGTAGAATTGTAGTTGAATACAGTTTTTTTTTTTTGGTCTTACCAAACAATCTAACCAAACTGGTGGTGCAGTTGACAATAGTTATGCCAGTTAGGTGAGTTTGGATAATGATTTATTAAACACAGAAATTTCAGAGAGGTTGAAGGTGTTTAAAGCACTCTAAAATATTTTTAATTTTAAAATATATTAAAAATATATTTTTATTTTTTAGAATTTATTTTTAAAATCATCACATTAAAACAATCAAAAAAATACTAAAAAAATAATTTAAAATAAAAAATATCAAATTTTAATGAAAAAACAAATCAAAGCTCTACCCTTAAACATCCTATCTTCAGATTTTATTGCCCGATCCCCTCCACGGCATGAGTCAAATTCTCCTGCCCGCATCCTCCTCCGTCGTCTCCATCTCTATCATAAGAAAAAGAAAATACGGTCGGCTTTTGACATGTCGTTTGGGAATAACGGTGGCACAAACTTTCTAGCGCTTTCCCTTACTTTAAAGGTCTAACCCAAATCTATACTCTAATGGGATTACAACGCGGAAAGAAGATCCCACCCATTTGAAGATTTTAGTCCTCTTTGGCCTCCTCACACAATTTATCTCCACAACGTGCATGGAAGGACCGCTAAGATTGATGATACCTCCTTTTCTTTTCCAGGAAAAAAACGGGGGTCAATTTATTGCCCTCCCACTTTCGGGCTCCGAAGAAACATAGCAATAGAAGTGACTACAGAAATAATGTTCCTTCGAAGGAGAATATGCTTTGTTCCTGTAAAATTGTGTAATACACATGACTACAAGCATAGTATAGCCAGAACCGAGAATGATTGCCATGACAAACATTCATAGCTGGACCATACCATGCTCCGAGCCTCTAAATATTTGATATCCATCATTTTCCCCGTCTATTGAAATTCAAATCTATGACAACAACTCAGCTCTTCATTTTACACCTTAATTAACCGAATCTTTTTCACTAAAAGAACAAAAAATAAATGAAAATTGTCTGGTATTTTCTATGCTTGATTCAATCAAGCAATGGATTTTATTCTCTAAGATGAGTGATAAAAATGTTTGCAACTTACTGAAAAAAGCCTCTTTACAACTACGAACGTGAACTAACATAATCAGAAATTATATATTAAAAAGTGCCAACATTCTCTTCAATGCGAACTAACATAATTAATCAGAGACGCGAAGGAGGTGTGCAAATTTGATAAATTACAAGCAACATGACTTTCCATTCGTGGTCAAGAGGTTTCCTAGGTATATTAGATGTAATTCTATGAGCACTATCCTATTACCTTCATCATTTTTTGTTCTTCCTCTAATTATTCTTAGTGAATTGCAAGTGAAACTGAGAATTATCTTACCAATTACAATTGGTAATGAATAACAAATTTGTCTGATTCCTTGTCACAATAAATTTACTTAAGACTCCTCATGCCGAAGGAACTGAACAAATTTAGATCTGAATTCAGGTGGAATGCGAACTGGACGATATTTTTTGTCAAGCCAGGCAGCTGTTGCTTTTGCTTCCAGAATAGGCTGCAGAAAATGCAAATAGAGCTACTGAGATTTTGAGTATATACAGGACAAATCCTTAAGACATGTACCCTAATTGTAAGGATGATAATAAATTACCTCTTCATTTGGCAGTCTGAAAATGAAGTGTTCAAAGTATAGGCGAGCAGCAGAGGAACCAGAGATCCTTACCTTTACAACAAACCTGTCTCCACTCTAGAAGCACCAACAAGAAAGGAATATTACTAAAATTTACCAGAAACAAGTTTTAGACGTTGCATTTACTAGTGGCAGGACACATATTGCAAAACACACTGACCAAACTTTCCAATCAAGCACAGAGAAAGTGTTTTATCATAGTTGCATTGTATCAGATGCACATGGAAGTATTTACAGATGCCCAGTACTATACTAACAGAAATAGAGTTTGGACAAAAGTTTATGTCAAAACCCTTCCTCCCTTCCACGAAGAAGCAGCCATTACCTTCCTAGACCTTAACTTGGATAAAGATTAAAGTGAAATGCGAGTGAGGCACTCGAGAATACAAAGAAGTTTCAATTTTAAAACCCTTTTTTCACAATTAGAAATCGTTCTACTTTCAAGAACAGCTAAACCCACTACGTTCACCAGTTTTCTCCGTTCTCTCCCCCATTTAGTTTGTTAGAAAATAAGCTTGGCATTACCAAAATATACAGGGAAAAACACAAAAAGGATTAGCATGGTTGATTAAAAAGAAGAAGCAAGGACATACTCTTAGCGGGGCGAGGAATTTGAGTGACAATTCTGACAGTGCCAAAGCATCGCCAGTGCGAGCAACTACATCAGCACTGACACCAATCCTCTCCAAAAGCTCATGACGACCTGATTAAAATTAAAGTGGGTGATAAAGGAAAATGAATTTAACAATTTCTTGTTTCCAATTTTACTCTCATCTAATCAAATGCAACAGAAATGTTGAATAAAAGAAGAAATATAAGTACCATGTTGGCAATAACTGGCGTAAACAGCATTGTTGACGACTCCGAATTGATCCAGCTCGTAATCACGCACTTTTAGCTCCACTTCCACTAACCCACTCATTCTACAAAACCCAATTGCTTCCCACATAAATACAAATAATTAACACCAAGATAATTAGTCCCTAAAGAAAGAAAGAAGGAAAGATGAAAGATTACCCTTTGCCAGCTTTGAGATCGATAAATGGTAACGACGTGCAGTTTCTGATGGGGGGGAGTGACCGCACATGTAGCGGCCGGGATGTTGGAAACGGAGCAGGTGAGGATTGACGGGGAAGATGGACCATCCATTTTGCGCAGGCACGTGAGGTGGTAGGAAACGTCGCGTGTGGCGGGGGGGTTATTGCCAATGCCTGCAAAATCATAATCATAGGACACAGTCACCCTGCTATGCTAAATTGATAATTGCTATCTATCTAGCTGGGGGAAATGAGTGGGAAATTGCATTTGTAAATACACGATCTCTTTCTTTTCGGATTTTTTTTTGGGCGTTAGAATCTATGATTTTGCAAACTGTACTTCCTGCCGATTAATTACAGGGTTATGATTATTTTTTAAAATAATTTTTATTTAATAAATATTAAAATAATATTTTTTTTATTTTTAAAAAATTATTTTTAATATTAGTATATCAAAATAATATAAAAATACTAAAATATATTAATTTAAAATAAAAAAATTTAAATATTTTTAAAAATACTTTAGAAAAAAAAATTAAATTTATATGTCAATGTAGTTCACTCCTGGTACTTTCTTGATCGCTCTTTCTCATTTTTAAGGTGGGGATGCAATTATTTAATTTTTTATAATCTCTAAAAGTTGAAATCTTTCTAGACAAATATTTATTTTTTTAATTTAATAGTCTTGTTGCTACTAACTAGACTGCATTAACTCTTTGCTTGTTACACGCTATATAATTATGTCATAATTACATAATCATTTAAACAACATTTATTTAAAAAGAACTTAATTATAAAAAGCTAAAGGAAAAAAAAAAAAAAAAGGAGATGAGAAGAAATTGAAAGTTCAGGCATTCCTGGGTTGGATATGCATGTCGGCCGTAAGTAAATCCGGGCATGCTTGGACCTTAAAATTCAGGTTCACACCATAGTTTTTAAACCTGGCCCGGTCCAAAGTCCAGGTTCCGGGTTTTGACCAGGTCACCAGGTTTTGACCGCGTTAGCCGGGTCAATTTTTATTTTTTTTAAAAAATTAAAACGACATCGTTTTAGTAAAAAAAATAAAAGTCAACGGATTGCAACCGGGTTTTTGCAGGTCGTTCGGGTTTCCGGGTCAACCCGCCGGGTAGTCCGGGTCACACCGGGTCATGGCTTACCTTATTTTTTCATCAACCCGGCCCCGTTCCAGCCCCGGGTCGGCCGGGTCCCGGGTTAACCCGGCGGGCTGGGCCGGGTTTTAAAACTATGGTTCACACACCTTTTTTCCTTTTTTTAAAAAGACAAATAACATATAACTCACCTTCAAGATTATTTTATTTTTATGAATGTTGTGTCTCTCGTCGGGCAAATAACGTGTCGTTTATTGTCGCTTTTCCAATAACTAGAGGTGGCTCTAGTAACCGGAAAATCAAAATCTTTGTTTTTGGACATATTAAACCCATATTATAACCATTTTTCACTTAAAAAATGAAAAATAAAAACATGAACCTTTATACCTTTGTTTCTAACAACAATTGTTTTTTTTAATTGGCCTAAATTCTTAAAATCAAATGAAAAAAAAAAAAGAGCTTTGAGTACCCTTTTCAACATCAATGAAAGTAAAAATTATCTTCGTTGAGTTTTTTTTATAAAAATGAATTTATAAACATCAAGATTAAAGTATTTGGTGGTAAAAAAAATGATTACCCAAAAATTTTCTCTCTTTTTAAAATTTTTTACTTTCAATGATTTTTTGTTTACTCTATCAGGGCCTGAGAATTAAAAGTATCATGATCCGAAACTCAAGTAAATAATTGGCAATGTAAAAATAATATCATAAAAATATTTTATTTATGCTAAGTCTTAGAACATAAATATCATAAAACAAATCATATAAAAATTTCACAATATTTTGTAATCTTTCATGATATTATATTTTTTTAAATCAATAGAATCAAATAATAATTAAATTTTTTTTATCATCAAACAAAGCAAGACAAATAATTCATGATATTTATTATATTGTTAAAATCTAAACTAAATAAAATAATATAATAGTTAAACGTTTAAAACATTGAATAAAAAACTTTGATTGGAATCTTGATTTATCAGTTTTCAAATATGTATATTTCATAATGCAACAATATGTTATTCAACAACCCATAAATTTATACATAAAATCAATTTGTTCTAAGTCAACGAATATCATAGTACATCAATTAAAACCCTTAAATCTTTTAATTATCAAGATAATATAAAAATCATAAACACTTTTTAAATCTTTTAATAATAAATTTTCTAATAGAAAATAATAAAGGAGAAAATCACTTACTTGTATCTTCAATATCTATTAAATCACAACTCGAGCTAAAATTGAAATCCTTTATATATATAGAAGAAAGTTACACCAGAGAAAAAAAAAGAGAAAAAGATAAAAAAAACAATTTTTTTTTAAATATTTAGATTAATTAAGAGGAAGAGAAAAAGATAAAAAATTTTTTTTTTTTTTTAAATATTTAGATTAATTAAGTTGAGTTGAGTTTTAGACTAAGATTTGGATTTGGGTCTATTGGGCCAAAACATGAATCTTATAAAAAGTAAAACAAATAAGTTTGGGATAAAAATGAAAAATTCAAAAACATAAAGGACTAGACACAAAAGAAAGTGAAAACTACAAGACCAGAGTGTATATTTACACAACCTTTGAACAATGAACATGCAAAAAAGGTTGGAAATTATTGTTAATGTCAAATTTATTCCATTCTCTTTTAAAATTATCCTATACAATAATTTTTAAATTTTTAAAGCAAAATCAACACCTTATTGAACTCCGAAACAATCCTTGACACCTTGGTGCTCACAAGAATGAAATATAAAGAGACCAAAAAAATCGAAGACAACAAAAAAAGGATTTTCAAGGATTAAATTGAAAGAAAACATAGCTGTAGGTCAAAGCAAAAGAAAAATGACTTGTGGGAAAAAGAAAGAAGTAAAAAAAGGCCGCTAATTAATGTTAATTTAAAATTTCATCCATGTTTTTATTTTTTTTTAATTTTGTCCTTGCAATAATTCTGGAAGATCATAACCTATGATGAAAGAGAAGAGATTGAACAGTACGTAACTAAGCATCGGAGTGGAATAGGCCTAGTTGAGTAGAAGTAAAATTAGGCCCTCCATAACCTTGATCTCTCACCATCGTCTTGGGATGATGTCCACATAATGGGATGAAAGCCCACATAATTTGAAATATCCGGTGGCTATTAAACCTGTCAGAACACAAAACAAATGACTTAGGATGCATAAATATTCCCATGTCATGATATACTGTATGTATTAGATAATTACAAACTAGTAGAAGAGTATTTCTGAGTTCCAGCCTCGATCAAATTAAACAAGAAAATCATTCGTCAAGAGTTCCTTTCCATGCGCGTGTCCATTGCACAGTAGGAGGTCCATCTTCCTTTAATTGGGCCGACACATGCCAGGTTTAAGAGGCTAACCCCTCCTAATGGGCTATCTTACCGGGCCTTTAGAGTATACAGGTTAAGAGAAGGGCAGGGAGCTTCGCATGAAATTGTTAAAGAAAAAGAAGCCCAGTAAAAAGGAGATAAAAATGTGCAGGTAAATCTTAGATGTCATTAAAAATGAAATCTCGTTGGAGAAGACAGAAGCCCTTCCCACCAGAACATTGGAGGATTCGCCCCTGCCACCCATCATAGAAATTGTCTTTCAAAATTCCCCCATCTCATCCAGAGTCTATATATATCAACTTCAATTGAATATAAAGTTTAGAACACAAGATTCCACGATTGAGGAGTGAGAACATCGAGCCAAAATTATCCACGTTCAGTGTTTTGAGAGATGCATGAACATTAATTCAATACCCTTTCCTCTCTCCCATCGGATGGATAAGTATGAAATTTTATCCGGTCCCCCACCGCCCAAACACGCGCATGAGACTCGTGGTCATGTTCCCGGCTCACTGGTATTATTATTGGAATACGAATGTGAGATTTCTATTCAAACAGTCTCAACCCAAGTCACGTGAGATCTTGAAAATATTCACAGATTAAAAATAGACACGTGCTCAAGGCATCCAATCACTAATTATAAAAGCTGCAGAGCACTCTCAACTCGCAACTATGAAAACATTTATCCTTTATTAATTTCATTTTAACTGTCAGTAATTGATTCTCTTAGTAAATTAATGTGTTTGTTTTTGTAATTTAACTTTTTTTTCATAAAAAAAATTAAATTAACACTGTTTAGATGTTTTTCAGTTATTTTAATATATCAATATAAAAAAATATATAAACTAGACCCATTGCAATCGAAAATAATAATAATAATAAATTTGTGTATCTTGCATTCGGTTATAGGAGTGCAGAGTGAAAAGTAGCTGGTTTTATTACAAGTAAAAACCTTTAAATATAAACCACATTCTCATAATAATTAATTTTATTTATCCATGACTCACTTATCAATAAATTATCACAGCTCCTTATATATAAAAACAACAAAAAAAACTCTAGTAATACTAAATAAAAAAATAAATTATTAAAAAATATAATAAAAAGGAATAAAAAAATAATTATTAAAAAAATAATTATTAAAAAAAAACCCTTTCGCGTCACTTATGGATCACACGTTCATTCAACTTTTTAATTAGGCATAGTTGTACGTGAATAAACGTTAAAATGATACTCCAATTAAATTCTAAGAGTGAGTGCTGTACTTGTACTCGCATAAAGTAATAATGCAATATTCTTTCCACAGTGACAGAATTATGCGTTTCCATGAATTTCTTTGTTTCGCCAAGTTCATCAAAGCTAAAGATTTAGACAACCAAAAAGGCTCTCTCCCCCAGGAAGCGGTAAAGGAATTCACGTGAAAAGGAAATTTTTCTTGTTAACTTTGTATTGATGAATTTGGGAGAAATTATTTGATGTATCTCTCTGGAGATAACAAGTGATCCTGCAAAATCAGAATAGATTTGCTGCAAATACATAATAATTTACTTTAAACAGATTAAATAGATGATATAACAAATATATTTATAAATTAATAAAATAAATATAAATCTAAAAAAAAAGACTGATTGTCTTAAGCTAGAATAATGATTCAAAAAAATTATAATTTTTTATTTAATTATTAAATCTAATTCAAATTTTTATAGAAGATTGCTGAGATTGTTTTTTCTATAGTAATCTTTACTTGTTTTCTAATTGATGCTAAGGTTGTTTTTTTTATAGTAATCTTTACTTGTTTTGATGCTGAGTTTGTGACGTATTTAAAGTTTATAAATCTTATAAGAAAGCAGTTATTTTTTATGTGAAGTTGATTTTTATATTTACACTTGTGATATAATAATATTTTTAAAAATTTTAAATTATTTTTTTATATTTTTTATGAATTTAAAATTTACATCTATATTTTTTTTTCTTATCAAATATCCATGTCATGTGTTTATTGTTACCTTTATCTTCCTCCTTCCTCCTGCATCATTATTTATAACTTGTAATTAAAAAAATTAAAAATTAACAAGAAAACTCTCTCTTTTCTAATCTTATAGCACTTGTTTTCCAAGTCTTTAATTAACTTCGATGACTTTGGCAAAACAAGAAATTTAAGAAATCCGAAAGATTTTTGCTTCTTTCTTTGATTTTTCTTAGTCAAACTGAAATGCTCATTTAAATCTATTTTTTAAGATATATTAACTTATTGTGGATGATAGATTACTAGGACTATAAAAAAAACTAGCCTGCAATATTGATAAAGAAAATGACTAAAGATATTTTTCACAACTGAAAAATAAAGACGTAGAATGAGAAGTGCAGCACTTTACACGAAGTCCTCAGACTTCCATTAACAATGGCCAACCCCTAATAATAGTAGTGTGTGCTATCGAATAATATATTTTGTCTAGTCAATCACGTTTCTTGCAAGGAGGAAGTAGAAGAAATTAACGTAAGAAAATGGTAGGAGAATCATTCGCAAGAGAAACAAGCAAGATTCACTTTCGAGTTTAACTTCCTTACTCTTCCTTACGCCTTTACGTACCAGCTCTGTATATCACTTGTTTGATTAGATAGAAAGAGTTGTTGAATTGGAGATTTCTCTTTAATTGCAGTACTCTGCTAAGTCATTGACTACTGTTTTCATACAAGTCTGCCATTACATAGTTGATGGGATGGGAAGGAAGATCCCACTTTGTACATGCTAATGTGTGGCCTCTTTATATTTTTGGTTTATTGGAAGACTGACATAATGTGGCTTCTTTCTCTATTTCGGATGATTAATTAAAAACAAAGAACAGATGTGACCTAATCTCTTGTATAGTTTTCTTTTTTACTGTAAAAAATATTTTCAGATCAATTGGTTTATATCTTTTCGACTCATCAGATCTATTCCTTATGATTAACTGATTGCCAAGCTAAAAGAAAATAACTTTGAAATATATTCATGCTCGTCAAGAGTTTTGCAGGATATCGTTAATTATTGGTGCTTTGAACGTAGTACTGCTAGATAGGGTCCTTTAAGTGAGACTTACCCTGTATCTTGGGCACCTTTCAATCTACAGTACCTCCCCACCCCTCCTTTTTTTTTTTCTTCTTTTTTTATTTGGATGAAACATTTTCAGTCTATTCATAATCCATTGCACATCACTCGTCGGAAATGACCACCCCACCACAAAAAATTCCATTCCATTCATTTGTATATAAAGGCAAAGAGCATTTGGCGAAAGAAACTGCGAATGAAGTTCATTTCTAAACTCTCTCTAGGTTAGTAGAGATAGCTTGAACCATGCTATGGTGGTCTATAAACTTCTAGCACTTCTCCGCAGTTTCACTTTAGTACTACTACTCGAACGCACTAATTAGACCCTTGACCAATACCTCTCTCTCCCTCTCACTCTCTCTTTCACGCACAATAATTATTAAATACCGATATCATCTAAAAAATTATGAGAGCATCAATGCTTGGTGTTAAAAGGAGGATTTACAATTCTAGCGAAGAGGAAGGTGAGCTAAGAAGAGGTCCATGGACTCTTGAAGAAGATACTTTGCTTACTCGTTACATTGCTCGTAATGGTGAAGGTCGTTGGAACATGTTAGCAAAATGTGCAGGTATATTGAAGACCCCATGACGAACCATGTATCAACTACAAAACGTTAAAATAATTCACTAATTTCTTAATTTGCTTTGGTTGCCCAATTATTCATGCTCTAATTTTACAGGACTGAAGAGAACCGGAAAGAGTTGCAGATTGAGATGGCTAAATTACCTAAAACCTGACGTCAAGCGTGGAAATCTTACTCCACAAGAACAGCTTTTGATTCTTGAACTGCACTCCAAGTGGGGTAACAGGTATACAATCTCATCATCAAATCAAGTCCTAATAATTAAGGTTGCTGTTAAATCTTATGTTTTATGGACTTATTGTCTTACACTCCTAGATCCTAATATTTGCCTTCTTCTGAAAATTCCAGGTGGTCAAAGATTGCACAACATCTGCCTGGAAGAACAGACAACGAAATCAAGAATTATTGGAGGACAAAGGTGCAGAAAGAGGCACGCCAACTTAACATGGAGGCTAGCAGTACGAAGTTTCTTGATGCTGTTAGGAGTTTCTGGATGCCAAGATTGCTTCAAAAAATGGAGCAGGCTTCTTATTCTTCTTACTTGACAACACTCGACTCACAATCACAAGCTGATCATGGAGTCAGGTCTCCATCATCCAATTCCCCAGTTCCTAGTTCATTGTCAACGTCGTTGTGTCCTCCAGAAAGCAGATTGGCACACTATTTAAATCTTGGCAGTGAAAATTCAAGTTCAGTCACAAGTCCTCATGTTCTTTCTGCAAATTCCGATACAATCTCACCGCAGCCTGAAATTCTTGAAAACCCAACTTGCTCGTCTCTCCATGGTGATACTTTCTACAGCAACTTAATTTTGAGTGACACCTGCTATGAGGAGGGCAGTTGCTATGACCCAGTTGGATTCAATCAGGCTTCTGCTGGCATGGGCACTTATGACAATTCACCATTGGAATGCCAGATGGCAGGAGGCAATTGGGTGTTTGATAGCATGGAAGATACTTTATGGGATATGGATGACATGTGGCAGTTTAGGGACTTGAGAGAAACAGGCATCCAGAGTGGTCCCTGTCGATGATTAGGATCTTTTCTATTAATCATCTTGACCCAGACTTATATATATATATATAGTTTAATAGATAACTCCAGCATTATTGGTGAATATTGTAGTTATTATGTTGAGTATTTTAGAGTTCAAGTGATTGTTGAAGAAGCCTGTATATGTATTTTTTTTAATGGTGTTTGGTATTTCATGTTTAATTATGAATCACATCTTATTTTAATTATTTTTCATATTTAAATAGTGTTTGAATATCATTTTTATTTTTTTCTTTGAAAACAAAACAGTTTTCGCTTTGAAATAAAGTGAATTTTCTTTTAAAATAAAAGAAAAGGTGTCTTGCATGTTGTGGGGGTCATTTTTCTTTAATTAAAACGAAAATTGTCTTTATTTTTATTTTTCATATTGAATTACACACATCAAATATGCAAGGGTTTTATGTAATTCTATTTCAAAATTCTTTTTTTAATAATATTGACTTTTTTTTGAGAATTTTCTTTATTGAAAAGATATGTTTATGTACTATCATTTAATTTAACTCTCCTTTTTCTTATTTTTTTGGAACTCAAGAATTACTTTAATATTAAATTAAAATGGGTGTGTGTGTGTGTGTGTATTTATATATGCACATATATAACATGTAAGATCAAGAAGCTGTACATAATTTAATATAGATGAAATGTACCTATCAAGATATATACTTTTGGTCTATTACTTGATCATTTTATATCTTACAATCACAGTTGTAGAATTTAACTGAATAATATTTAACTATTCTTAAAATATTTATAATGATAGCACGCAACAAATTACACCACAGCAATATCAAACATGTTTTCTAATTTTTTTGGTGCCATTTTTTAATTTTAACCATGATGATAATTCGATCGAGTCAAATTTTAGACATTGTGGTTCACCCTGAAACCGATACATTGCTGGGAAAGATCTGCAGGATGGCTCACTGTAAGTTCCTTCACTCCCTTTATGTGACTGAATTCTTAGCACTTGTTTTATCAAATCATTACTCCTTGACCTCCAATGCTAGCAGAAGGGAACCTTTAAAGGTAGTGGTCATGAATATTCCGATGAAATAATGGGAGAAGTGACAACACACAGGATTATATCAGAGGTGGAATCACATCGATCTCTTGACATATTCAATGTATTGGACACTAAAGTTAGAACTAGGGGAGGGCTGGAAATTGGAATAGAAAAAGGAGTGTGGGGCTAAATTAGCAGGAGGGGGTGATGCCAATGCTCCAAACAATCAATTTTCCTTCACGAAGCACTTCTCTCCTGTAAAACTATTGTCATCGTCTGAAGAGGGTGGCATTTGATCATTTCATTTTGAATTTAGGTTGAATTTTTTTAATTTGTTTTAAAAAAATTGTTAGTAAATTATTTTTTTAGTTTTTTTATTGATTTGATGTGCTAAAATTAAAAAAATATTTTTTTAAATATTTTTTTTAAAAAATACAATTACGAGTCCCATAAAAACAAACTACTAGCTGAAAGGTTGTGGTGCTGGTACCTCCAAGTCATTTTCAACGTAAAGTTTATAGAAATAGAACGAGATGAAATTTCTAATTTCTATGTACTGGATTGAATTATAACAATAAAGAAATTCAAAGAAAATAGAAAACAGAGACAAAAGGTATCTTTTAATTAAATCTGATCCCGGAGCTTATACATCTCTCTGCGCGCGCGACACTAACAAAATGACAGGCGTCGTGCAATTGGAACCCAAACTCCAAATTTCCGCCATGGGAAAGTAGAATTAATTCACACAATTTCAAATCTTAAGGAGATGATATGAGATTATACTAGCTAATTAAGCTTCGATAATTTGGGCTTAGAGTGGAAGGGCTGCTGAGAATAATAAATATTTTTCCTGGTCGGAAAGGTTAGCGACTCCTTGCACAGAGAAAATGATCATTCTTTAAGTTGAAAAGACATTATAGCTTCCATCACCTTCTCCAAACGGCACGTTTTCAACATTGATTGTGTTCTTGCAACTTTATCAAACTCTCTCGGGCCAGGGAAGAACGTGGAGAATTGTAAACCTGTTCCTTTTTCACTTTTGACTCTCCCTCTCTTGATCTTGGCTTCCTAGCTGTCATCAGTTTTCCACTTCAATGTCGGCTAATTCGTCAATGATGCATTTATATATCTCTCTCTTGTCTTTGTTTTCAGAGGGCCTATTGGTAGGGCCATTTAAACTTTTAATCTTACGATGACAAAAAAAAAAAAAACAAAACTTGTCTCTTATTTTAAAAAAACTCTGGTCCCAGAGGCATTTTTTTAAAAGAAAACGATTGCCTCAACAGCGTTTTTTTCCTTCCTATTTTTAAATATTTTTTAAATGTACTCCTTTTAAAAAAAATCCAGCTTCAAAGCATGTTTTTACTTATTAACGTATTTTTTAAAAATATTGATGAAATAATAGAGTTTGAAAAAAAAATAGCTAAATAACAACATATATACATGTAATCATTAAAAATAATAACATTCAAATTTGTTTCTATTCATAAACAAGAAATTTCACAAAAATATAAAATGAAATTGATTGCACATGAAAAGAGATAAAATAAAAAAATAAAAAAAAAAAGAGATTTGACCATAACACAAATAGTATCACCACCGAAAGAATTTCAATAAAACTTTTCTTGCAATGTTAAAATAGGTCACAAACAATGAAGTGAGCCACATTTTTTATTACTTGATAAATTGTTACTTATTATTTTTTGACAGTAAATATAACCTACTTAGGCTAGCTTTACTAATATTTTATTATATTTTTAGATTTTTTTTTGATATCCTTATTATAACATGGTTGATATTATAATTTGAAGCTTTGATATACATTTAATATTTATTTTTATTTTTATTTTTTTCTTCTACTATACAACTCATTTCATTGTTTTTTTAATGTATCGTTTTTAAATAGCGAGAAGTTTGAATGTTATTATTTTTAATTGTAAAAAGTATAAACTATATTATTTTAAAAAATCTTTAAATGGTATTAATGTTTTTTAAAAAACATGTTAATTTTTTTAAAAAAAATCTTAAAACACCCACGTTTCCTGTCTAGCAGATGAGTTTTTTTAATCTTTATAATCCCCATTCAATTACCAATATTACATCCATATCAACTCACCAGTACGTTTCACGTGCTAAAACATCTAATCCACGATGGACTGGGACCGTCAACTGTTTTATGGATTTACGAGACTATTTAAGGGATGCCTGTCGATTTTATTTTCTCTCCCTTGTGCCACTGGTTTTTATTACGAGAATGTTTGGCGTTTTGGTTGAATTGTTATTTTAATATTTTATTTTAGATATTTTTTATTTATTTTGATATATTAATAAGAAAAATAAATTTAAAAAATAATAAAAATATTATTTAATTTATTTTAGAAAAATATTTCAAGACATAAACTTCACTTGTTCTTTAAAACAATCACTAAAGAATAAGGATTTAAACCAATCACTAAAGAATAAGGATTTAAAACAATCACTAAAGAATAAAGACACCAAGACATTTAACTTTATTGAGACTTTCAGGGAAAAAAACATGCGTGGTCTCATGGTTGGATATTTTGGTTTGTTCTGGACTTTGATTATGAAATATGGTACGATGAGATTTTAAGTTTTTGTTATTAGTCATTAATCATTCTTTCAACAAAATCTATAAATAAAGGGCGTGTGATATTCTGGGAGTTTTTTTTTTGAAAAATATCACAATTAGAGGAAAAAATTTAGAGAATAATATAGTTTGAATTTTTTTAAAAAAAATAGCATAGCTTCAAAAAAATTATTATTCAAAATCATGGCTTTAATAAAAATTAGTTTTGAAACCAAAGCTTTAATAAAAACCACTACTTAGAATCATGGGTTATATACAACCAAAATAACAGATCTAATTAAAATATATGTGTTACACTAAAAAAACAGCACAGAATCGTGATTAGAAATAACAGTTTTGTTATACATTCACTATTGTATCATTAATAAAAATAATGAAAGTATTTTATTTCTCTATATTTTTTATATTTTTAAAAATTTTATCAAATCATATTAGTTTGGTAAAATATTCAAATTCACGACATGTGAATGATAAAAATTAATAAAGACATGTTGAAATTTATAAATATACATACCAAATTATTCCTAAACACAAAAAACTGAAATATATAAAATATAATTTCCTCGTAAGAGAAACTACACATAAAAAAATTAATTAGAACTTTTGATTTTTCACAATAAGTTTTTTTAGATTAGATTTTCTTTTCTCTAATGTATTTCATTTTATTTTAAAAAAGGAATATTTATTGTATAAAATATATTTAATTCATTTACAAGTCGTTATATATTTAGTATATTTAATTATAGTTTTCAACATCTGCGTGCATGTTGCAAATCTCACTCTTCTTTAAAGTTGTAAATTTGATCAGAGAGACCACGCAGAATTATTTAATGAAAATTTAAGGTTCATTACACTCAGTTTTAAGTAGAAGGATAGATTTGATTAAAAAAAAAAAACTAAAGAGATCACACCGTGTTTTTGTCTGCTGGGTGGTAGTACTTTTCAATGCACTGAATTGATTTTTACGGATCTTCTTTTATATATGATTCTGACCTCTTTATATAAAAACAAAGACATCAAATAAAAAAAAAAAAAAGCTTTTCGATCGTTTTATGAAACACGCCATGGGGGCTCGATTTGCAACAGTAACAGAATATTAGAAAGTTGTCTTTCGCATGTAGCCCGGGATCTAGGAAGGGAAAAGAGAGGGAGAAAAAAGATAGAGAATTCAAGGTGAAGATGAAGCAATCATGAGAATTGCAGAACTATTCTACATGTGCTGATATATAAAGCTGCAAGATCATGGATGGTCCTCCCTCGATATGGCCCGCTGTGTCAGTAGTATCTTGTTCTGATGTGATGATTCTTTCTGGAACTACCAAGTCGGATGGATAGTTATCCTCGGAAAAGCTAAGACTTTATCATGTGAACTGAAGAAATTCTTTGGGTTTCATTTCATGGGGAGGGATGTGGAATCCTCGATGCTTAGACATCATCCTTTCAATTCTCAATCACTTCAAACCTATCATTGTCAACACTTACGCGTCAGCATCCTAAACTCTCATATGATTGGGCCTTTCCGTTTTCAAAGACATCAACGCGTTTTTTAGAATT